ATTCCAGTGCTGCTGGTCTTGGTTCAAACTTTTGGAAAATTGGTTGTGGAAAATGGCAATTGGGAAATATCCCAGTACTTCTATTTGTACTAGTTGGTTAAGCACTAAGGGGCACCACATCCTGTGGTTTGACTCCCTTCTTGTGTGCTAGATTACTTAATGCAATATTTAAGTGGTTAAATATCAGGTCATCGGTTTAAGTCATTCGTCCCTAAATTTTAAAGTATCTGAGTTTATTAATCAGGATTTTGAGTTTATGGGGAAAAAAAAAAGTTTCATATTTACACTTATAAAGGATTGGTTTAGTACCAGTCTTATTGTTAGAGAATATTTTATTATGAAATCTCTAAACATTATGTTTCATTTGTGCTTAGAGATAAATCATAAAACTCCATTTTGTAATAAATCAGAAGGAAATATTGAGGTGACTTTTAATTTTATTAGTAAATTATAAATTATATTAAATTATAAAATAAACACTCTTAAAAAAAAAAATCCTAAATATCAAGAGACTTATCTCATGTCTCTGTTTTAGAGACCCTTTTTCTATTTGGTCATGGTCCATATTTCATAACTTCACATTTTAGTTTTTAACTCTCAAAACTCTTTTTCACTAATTCTTCATTAGCACTCACCAACAAACACAAGAAAGAGAGTAGAGCCAACTTAGTTAACCAATAGCTGCCCGCCAAGTGGCACGAAACCCACCTGAAACACAGTTTCATTACCACCCGCCAACGTCAAGCCTTTCCTCCGCTTGGGCGAGCCGCCGTCCAAATTCCCCATACCAGCCACTGGCTCCCGCCGCTTAGCCTTGACTCTCACCGGCTCCGGCTCACCAGATCCTATACGGTGAGGGAAGTTAAGCAAAGCCCTGGAGCCACGCATCTTGTAAGCCGCTCGGTCATACGCCAAAGCCGCTTCCTCAGCCGTTTCATACGTGCCCAGCCACACTCTAGCGCCATTCTTGGCCGGATCACGGATCTCCGCCGCAAACTTCCCCCATGGCCTCCGCCTCACTCCTCTGTAATGCCTCCCTTTAGGAACCTTCTGATTCAACCTCCGCAAGCATTTTCCGTTATTCCCTGCAAACAAAAAAGCGCTCCCACTCCCACTCTCGCTCTCCATAGACGTGCTTTCAATTCCCAAAGGCGCTTCGATTGGAGCCATCGGTTGAGCCAATCCCATGGCTCCCATAGCAGGCTCGCCTTCAACATCGGCGACAGTAAAATCTAAGGGAGACCATCCCCAATTAACCGCATCGCGGAGGGAATTGTAAATGATCATGTCCTCGGAATCATCTACTTTTAACGGCAAGTCACCCCAGTTGTCCGTCAGGCAAGGGATGAGACTGCCGTAACTTGAGCTCCGTTGGGGGAAGTTGAATTCCGGCATGATGAATTAGACCAAAAGAAGAAGAAGAAGAAGAAGAAGAAGAAGAAATGAAGAGATATTAATGGAGTCAAGGGAGCAAAACTGGAGGGCTATATATAGAGGATGCAAAGTGGGGGGGGTGGGGAGAAGTAAATTATAAAGTAATTGTAATATTTTACGGAATTTTCTTTTGTATTCAGAGGATTCCGATTAAAAAAGCGTATAATTATAATTTTTTATGGTTATTTTATTTTATAATTTAAATTATTTTAAATTATAAAATAAAAATTATTCAATAAAAAAATATTAATATCAAGAATTTTTTTATTAAATAATTAATATTTTATAATTTAAATAATAAAATATTTTTTAATTTTTTATAACTAATTTGTATAATAAAAATTAAAATTTTTTATTTTTTAATTATTTAATTAAAATATTGTATATAATATTAATATTAAAAATAAAATTTATTTTATATAAATTAATAATAAAAATATAATAAATAAATGTTTAATTCATGCATTAGATTATGCGTTTGAAAAACCTATATTTTAATGGAATTTGGGGGGGGGTTTTGGTCTTTTAAGGAGTTTCTGTGAAATTTCATTGGCGACTTGGAAAGTGGGAAATTGTAGGAAAAGATGAGGTGTGTGTGTGTGTGTGTTAGTGCGGCACGTGCTCTTTTGTGTTTTGGGCAACTGGTTATAGTGTGCCATACGTGTCGGATGTTATTGTACGATGACTACTACTAAAGGAGTCTGGTTGAGGAGGTGCTGATGCTGATGTCTTGGTTCTTACATCAACCATTACGTATTTTTATTGATTATTAGGGCACATAAAAAAAAGTCATGACACGGTACCCACACTGTTTTACTT